CACCTCGTGCTAACACACACCTGTCTTCTCACCTGTCACTGTCAGGACATTCATCAGAGAGTGTAGAAATCTGACACAAGGACTCAACATGTCACAAGTGATCCAAGTGTGTGGTCTAAAAGCCAAAGCAACTTTTTTAGTGTATGAAACTCGCTGAACTGGTCGCTGCACAGGATGACGAAAGATAAGTCTCTATATGAGAAGGCTGGCAAAACTGTGTGTATTCCTTATGGACAAAAAAAACAAACCGCCGTCTTTTGTGGGATTTGTTGACTATAAGAAATAATAGAATGATGCCAGCTTTCTCCTTTAATGGAGGTGTTTGTTATTGTTGCTGCAAAGGACGAAACCATAATCACGAAGGGTCAGCAGTGTGTGTCTGTGTTTGGGAGCAACAATTGGCTCATACCAGCTTGTGTGTATGGTTTGTTCCTCGCCTGTAAACAGGGAGGCTCTTTAAGTTGCTGTTTTCTTGTCTCCTCTCCAAAATAGCTTTTAATCCCAGTCTGCTACAGTGACATCCGCAGTAAAAGACTGTGGTAGTGCTCATTGTATTGCTCATGAATGTGCTAATAGCCAATTTAGCTGTGTAATTAAGGCTTACTAATAATACGTTGATTGTTCGATCATCTTTGTAAAGCAGACATCCACTTCCTGAGTTTCTAAGAACCAGTGATATGGGCCAGTTGAATAATGCATTTTTACATAGTTATGAGTACGTTTATTCAAAACCTGACTTTTTCATGAAAATATGGTAATCAAGCCATCATGATTGAGATTTTTTTATAATTAGCCTCCAACAGTAAAAAAACCCGTTTCTGAACATTTGTGTCCTTGAACAAAGGACACAAACAGGATTGTCCTTTTAACATGGATTAAGGTGAAGTGCCTTGCCCAAGGGCAGCTCAATGGTATTTCCTGAAAAAGCGGAGAGCGTTAGTCATTCAGCTTTTCTTTCCCCAAAAGTTCCTCTGCTTCTTTAACAGTCCAGGATCTCTTAAAGCTTCGTCGAGATTCACAAAGAAACGTGTGACTCTCGCCATTGAGTTTAAGCCTGATAGTGGTCGGCACTAACACATTTCCTCCCAAAATGTCCCAGCGGCATTGTGAACATTTCTCTTCCCCTTTGCACAGTGCCCTTTGGAGGTCCCCATGCTATGCCTGTTTTCTTTTATTTTCCTATTTTTTATTGCATCTGGTTCCCATCCTGCTTCCTGAGGTTTAGATTAATCCACCTTGAGTTTCCAGCTGCCGGAGAGCCTGTTCCAGTGGCTGTAACTTTGAATGGATGAACCAGAGAGCGAGAGGGGAAGTGACAAAGAGAAAAGGAGGGTGTGATGGAGAGATTTGGGGGGTAAGCAGGGAGCAAAAGAGAGATAGATAAAGAGAAAGACAAAGAGATGAAGGTCTTTTTATGTTCCCCCAGATACACTCGGCTCATTTTGAGGTCTCAGGTGATTGACAGCATGCAGCTAACAACCATCTCTGTTTCTCCAATAGACAAAGACAGCAGAAGACTTGGCCTCTGAAACTTTTAACTGTCGAATAGATTCTTGAATATTTATACTGTATCTTATTTCTACAGAATAAAACGACCGACGTAGATCGGAAGAAAAGAGTTCTTGTTGGCTCAGTCCAACATTTGATTCATCTCGAGGCTTTTAAATGATTGACAGAATCAACCCACAGCACAAACAAAAGCAGATCAAATATATTTCATATATTATTATTCCATTCCACACCGTATTTATTAATATTCCATGATGCAGTGCGTATTGTATGATCTCTGATTCAATGGCTATCGCCTTCATGTCTGAGCAGTCAATAACTGGGAACTGTTGCAAGGTGTGTTGACAACCACTGCACTAATGTGACACAGGTGCTCTGTATATGTTTTGAGCAACACCCAAAGATGAATATCTTATGAATATGTTGCGTAAATAAAATAAACTGGGAAACAGATGCAAGCAGCAGATTCAGCCGCTGCAGCCGGTTTGAGTGTCGTTCTCCTCAGTATGACTGTTTCAGCTGTTCTAGTGACATCTGTTGGAGTCAACTAGTAACTTTATCTTCAGAGCTGATGGATGCACACTCCAAACTAATTGAGTGAAAATACCACAATTTATTGCTTTTACTTGTATAAAAGAGGAACTTATTTAAAAAACATGTCCTGGATTTTGAGCAAAGTAGTAGTTAGAAATGTGGCAGCGACACCATTTTTTATACTTCATATAATTCTGTGTTTCCAGGTCATACCGCGTCGACAAACGTGATAAATGTATGCATACTCAATGACAGTATGCATACAAAAGGATGTTGATTTACACTGTTGCAATGCAGACACTGCACTGATTTCATTATGGAGTAGCCTGATGATTATTTTCTAGATTAATCAATTAATCATTTGGTTCATAAAACATCAGAAAATAGTGAAAACTGCCAAAAGTGACCTCTTCGTGTGTTTTGTTTTGTCTGACCAACAGTCCAAAGCTCAATGATAATCAATTAACTGCAACAAAGGATAAAGGAAAGCGGCAAATTCACATATTTTTTGCTTGAAAAAAAGACGAACGATATATAAATGATCTAAATAGTTCATTTTATGTCCATGACCCACTCAGTACATTGTTTTCACTGGTCTATTCACAGCTAGAATCATTAGCAGATGTTTTGTATATTTTGAGACCTGCATTGTTTTCAGCTTTTTGTCTCCTCTTTAATTTTTCCTTTGCCTTTTGCTGTTGCATTGCTACATTTTTACAATTTTAATCCAAATTTTAAACAAATTGTGTTTATTGGTATGACAGCTCCAGTAACAACCACAAAGTTCTGAATCTAGAATGAATCTAGAAAGTAGAATGATCAAAATAGTATACAGTATTATGTTTATTATTAATTAAGTGATAATAATTGAGTTTAGACATGAATAAGACACAAGGTTCACCTTTCCACAGTTTATTTCCTTTTAAAATAATTCATACAAATGCATACAGTCACAAACATATCTTTGTCAGGTTGTCAGTTTTGACCAAAAATAATGATATTTACTGTAGAATATAGAATATGTATACTGTATATTGCTACGCCTACTACTTTACCATAAAGGGGACCAAGGCAGGCAACAGTGGACTGTGTGTTACGACCAGGGATGGAATTTCAAAGAGCACCTCGACACTTTAAAGGGACCGTTCACCCCAAAACCAAAAATACATATTTGACCTCTTACCTGTAGTGCTATTCATCAAACTAGATTAATGTACACCAAAACAATCTAGATTGATGAATAGCACTACAGGACACAGGTTAGACGTGTGTTTTTGATTTGGGGGGGGGGGGGGGACTGTCCCTTTAAAAGCTTGTCTGTTGTTTTTACATGTGGCAGCCATCAGTTTGAATGAGGAATGCTTACAGTTTATATCAGGAAGTATTACATAACAACAGACATCTGGTGAGGAAAGATTCATAGTAAAATCCAAACTATTCCAGCATTTTGTGGCTGTTGTCTGACAGTGACATTTAAATATCCCCTCAGTCTCTTCTTTACTCAGACATACTCGCCAATGGGTCGTGAAATTTCCATCCCTGATTGCTACTCTTACTGCCTCACCATGAGGAAGACCAGGTATTCCACAGTGGACTGTTTTTACTACTCAGCTGCTGGTAGAAGGGGATCCAAAAAGCACCGTCACTTAGCTGTCCTGCTAACATCAACAACACTAGAACTGGAGTCAGTTAATCTCGAGAGAAAAAGAGTTTCAGATCGTGTTGGCGTAACAGCACCTTGTTTACATGTTGAGAGTGGAACCAGTGCATAGATTACTGGGTCAGTTAGCTGGCTTTAGATCTGAAGTCTAGCTCTAAGCATGTTGCAGTGTTTTTAACATAGTGTTTAGTTGTGTATTCAGATGGCAGTCTTTGTAATGATGCCTTGTGGAGAGTGCTAGCCACCACCCCTTCTCCCAGTGCTGCTTTTTCAGACACAGACACAACCAAGTCACATTGACACAGGCAGGCAGAACACCATATGTACACATAGACACAGAGGCCACAGAAGGGTGGCTGAACGGTATACTCAGGAAGGACCCATCGTGAAATGCTGCAGGAATACTCGACGAGGGAAAACGTGACGTCCTGACATTCCATCAGGAAACGTCTTTACTTTGTTGAAAAGGTGATCAAACTGGCCGTAGAGTATTTTTAATAACTCTTAACAGGTCGATTCGGTAGCGGATCTAAAACATTAACATTTGGGTTAACTTCAAGAACACAGCTGTTCCTCATCAGTCAGTAACCATTAACTGTTCTTAACTGGATGAGACATCTGTACAAATGAGTCTAACTTCAAACAGGAACCAACGATGGTGCTGGCAGAGAGCAAAGCAGTTGAATGACTGATTAATAGAGTTTTGTGATTTGCTGATTTTGACGGACCTCGCATGAAGCAACATGTCGCGCATCATTTGTAAACCTTGGTGTGCTCTTCATGTTCCATGATTTGGACAGTTAACGTGTAAAATGGTGGAAGTACTGGATGTTTAGACGCGAAGACGACAATAATGACCTGCTACAAAATATCAGTGCGTTGCCTTGTACTTAATCTGCTTTATCCCAACCGCTCTATTTTGTGAATTCAAACGGCGATTAGCGATGAAGTCGTCCCAGCCAAGCATACCATCACACCACCTCCCGACAGCCTTTCCTCCCACAACCCCCCTCGATATGGGCCAAACATTTACAAACAAGTCCCAAGAGCAAAGTCGCATGCCCCTTAAACATATCAAAACAAAATCAAACATCAGATCAACTTTAGCTCTTGTATCTAATGTAGCAGGACACGAAAAGGCAAGCAGGTAGAAAAACAAAAGCACTAAGTGGCATAAAAAGGTATATTCAAAACAAATTTAAAAAATAATAAACCAACTGCGGAAACTTAAGTTCCTGAGATGGTGTGCAAAAAGCTGCCTCTTTTTTTTCTGGAGGGGGGTGGGGGCGATGGGTAGGGTTTTTGGGGCTTGTTAATTTGGGGACACATGAAACAAAAAAGAAAAAACAGATATTGTTGTATTCTCAAACCAGTTTGGCTACATAGAGAGATCACACAACCCTTGTTTTTGTTAAGACTGGCATACGAGTATCAGTATCTTCTTGCCGCAAGTCTAAAAACTGTACACAGACAGGTTATATTCAGTTCATAACCGACTACTTTTGCTTGTACATCAAACTAAAGAAAGTACACAGAAAAAGAGAGAAAGACATGAAACCTGCCCCTCTAACTTTGAACACACTACAGTCTAAGACAGCAGAATCTTTTCTTCCCAAATCAACAGATATATGTTATTGTTATTTTTAATTAATTTTTTTAGCCTCTGGCAGTAACTCGACTACTGTATTTGTTGTAGTCTGGAGATCATCCTGTGGATCTTTACAGTCTTTCTCAGGACGTCTGTTCGGAGCAGAGGACAACTGTCTGACAGCTATCCACTCCTCTTCATCATCCTCTTTATAGTCATCATCTTCTTCTTCTTCTTTGGAGTATGAACCGGCTGCTGGGAACCAATTTGCCAGAGTGTTTTGAATCGATTGTTACTGGGACCTCAACCTGTCCACCTGACACTCTGTGAACCCGTCTGATGACAACTCGTCACTCGGGAGCTTGTCGCTGTGATCCATGTTTGTGGCTACAGTTGGTCATTCGGATGCTGCTCTCTGTCGCCCTCTGGTGGCTTGACTGTATTCTGTCCGGGGGACGGGGCATGAGGAGGGTGTGAGACAGCGGGCGGGAGGGTGTGTGTGATGGGCACGGCGCTGGGCACCATGCCTTCAACAGGAGGCGGGAGGCCGCCAGCTGGCAAGCTCACCACTCCTGGGGGATACCTAGAGAGGGGAGAGAGGGGGAGAAAGAGAGAGACGCAAAACTGAGTCATCAAAGTAAAACTGAAACTAAAATTACAGATATGAGACCTTTGTTTGACCTGCACAAACACACTGCAGTAGGCCTCCGTTAAATGTAAATTGAATAATAACATGTATAGCTTAACAAATTAACTAAATACTGGTGGTGTAATAGTGTAGCACACTTCAGTACCAGAGAGTATTGCACCTCCAGACATTTTATTTTTAAATGATCAAAATAGAGCAGAAGACGATAATAAAGTATCCCAAACTTCTTTTCATAAAGATTGATAGTAATATCCATGTCTTTACATTTTAGGCTCCCTGTTTGCCTCACAGGGTTTCCATTACAACGTTGTAATGTCCAATCCAATATAGAAAGTTAGGTAGTTCTGAATAATATCTTGTTTACTGCCCTGTTATATTTATTCTCTATTTTGGCAGGAAAGATGGGATTGGATTCGTGCAGCGTCACTTCACTGACAATTAATCTGCCAAATATTTTCTCAATCAATTAAATTTTTAAATCTCAAAGAGAAGAAAGACCATCACAACGTCCCAGTAACACATTGTTATTCTAGCACAGCAGTAACACTCTATATATCAGTTATCTTCTCTCATTAGTACATTTATAACCGTCACATTCTCTATTTTCAAGACATTTGGCAGAAACTTATCAATCACTTTACCGGGGTTTGGGGGAGAAAAATCAAACTGCACTGACCACTACTGGTTTCTTTATCCTGATGATTATTACCTATAAGCCCCGTTGAGCTCGGGGTGAACGGTAGCTGGGTCAACACCGGCCCAGTGGTTATTCTGGGAGAGGAACTCCTTATTCACACAGTTCTTCAGACTGTCTGGGATACGACCTGAACAACAGAGAAGCAGAGCAAAAGAAGTGTTAACAGAGAAACCAAATTAATTCACACTGGGGGGGGGGGGGATCTCATTAGCGTTACTGCACTCACTAACCCATTTTATACGGATAACAAAATGTCAGACAAGATTAAACAGGTCAGTGGTAAAAAGACTGAGCCACTGGGGAAACCACAAGAGGAGATAATGGGATATAAAGAAGCAGGAAAGGAAGAATAGTTAATGCTCGACTGCAATAGAACACCCAACAATATCTCTTTTCAGACTTGTGTTTACATTTCAGCAGTGTGTGTGTGTTTGTGTGTGTGTGTACGCTACCTGTGATAGCCCTCCGGATCTCCCTGGCTGCCTCCTCTCTCATCTCCAGCGATGCCTGTTCGCTGTACCAGGCAGCGTGGGGGGTGCAGATCAGGTTGGGAGCGTCCTTCAGCGGGCCCTGACTGAAACTGACAAATGTACAAACACAGTGAAATCAGTGACAGCTGCAACAAATCACGAGATTGGTGGCGTGTGCGAGTGTGTCCTTGTGTGTGTGTGTGGGTGTTTGTGAGGGGGTCAGTGCACCTCTGTGATTTAACTCTTGTAAGTTTTGTCTTTAAGCTTTTATGACATTATCTATATAGTAATAATAATGGTCCTAAATGCTGTAAAATGACACAGTTTCAAGTCAAAACCCATCAAAACATCTTGGGGGAGGGACCCCAAACCCAATATCTCCTTGTAGCTTTTATTCTCTGTAGGTATTCAGAATGTGTTTTTGTATCCTGCCGCATATTACGAGCATCCTGAATAGCTCTGCGTGCATACCTGCCTGTCTGGCTGGAGTTGATTCCAGGCTTTCGGCATCCTAAAATATATTATAGAGCGATACTAAAGGCTACAAATACCACAGGAGAGCACTTGAAGTATCAACACTATAGGTAACCATAACCCAAAATGTTTAAGTGGGAATATTTGAGTATTATAGATCTACTATAGAAGATGCAAAGCCCAATTATAATATAAGATACATACGGATCTGAAAAATGATGTGCACTCAATAGGGTGCAGATCTCCGCCAGGTGTGTCTGCAACAACATACAAAACAATCAGTGATCGTGTTACCTGAAAGGCTCTGTCTCATGAACATCCAGAGCAGCTCCACGTATCCTCCCCTCCTTCAGGGCCTGAGCCAGGGCCTTCTCATCCACCAGACCCCCCCTGGCCGTGTTCACCAGGAACGCCCCCTGGCGCATCTTTAAACACACACAAACACACATTCAGTCCATCTTTGATCTAATAGGATAGAGCTCCACCTGATTATCATTTTATATTGGCTGAAGGACATTTAAAGGTAATGTTGATATGTTATATTTTATGGATCCATGGAGAGATTTTTTTCTCTTTACTTTCCCTCTTCCAGCAAGGTCAGAAATACTTGAAAGTATAGCCTGTGGCTGAGCCCTGTAGATGAAGGACGAACAGATATTCCCTGAGTTCATCAGTCATCATATGCAGTGCACGCAGTAGAGAAGCTCAGTCATCTGTATGTAGGCAGTGGGCTTCCCTGAGTGTCCACTTCTCTAATATTTATGGCCATGGGATGTAGTGATGCAGGGATAAATAAATCATTCAAGCTTGTGTGTGTGTGTGTGTGTGTGTGTGTGTGTGTGTGTGTGTGTGTGTGCTGCCCCTCCACCTGTTTGATGGTGAAGTCGTTGATCAGGTGGTGGTTGTGTTCATTGAGGCTGCTGTGCAGAGAGACACAGTCGGAGTGGAAGAGCAGGTCCTGAGGAGAAAAACAGGAAAAGTTGCTAAAGATTAATCCACAATCTTCCATCTACACTTTTAAGGGCTGCTCACCACCGCACCAGCTTCACAGTAAGCATTTTTTTTTTGCTCAATAACGATAATATCAGTTAAGAACAGGCCACAAGATAAAATGTAATTAGACAGTGGACGTGGACTTCCATCCAGCACACCTTGTCCACCTTGGTCTGCTTTATGGTTTAGTAATCGATGTAGCAATATCCTAAATACTACTGTGTTTTTTTCATTGAAATAGACAATCTGTATTATTTTTAGGAAATAAAGGAAAAGGAAATGAACAGTGGAAATCAATTAGCTTTTCGTTTTTTGGGCCCCACCACTCCATTCCTGTTAGTGTCTGATAGCTGTGGCAGTAAGTCACTCCACAAGCCAGACTTAAAGCTGTACACGTATGGATGCTTCTGAATTAAATAATATATGTTTTATATTCTTAGTAATCTGTGTTTATATCAATATAACACACAAGTGCTGGAAACGGTTTGAAGGTTACTGATTTCTCTGAAACAAAGTGGCCTCACTGAAACAGGAGTGTTTTTGTGTGTGTGTGTGTGTGTGTGTGTGTGTGTGTGTGTGTTACCTGTAGTGTGGTGACCCTTTGTAGTCCCAGAGATCTTTCTACACCGTCAGCCAAATACGGGTCATAGAAGATCACATTGAAGCCGAAGGCCTTGGCTCTCAGGGCTACAGCCTGGCCCACTCGCCCTACAAACACACAAACATGGAGGTGCACACGCATTACTACACTCACAGGAGCATGTGAATACACATTCAAATGGAACAAAAAAACAGTTTACATTGTATATGTTCCCTTTTTTTGACGTTTGCCTTGAAGAAATTACATAATTCTCTGGCTACACACGTCTGCTCATTATTACTGAAAAAGCTTCCAGACTGTTCAGGGAAGAGATTTGCTTTCTGTTTAATCCGCTTATATTTTATTGGCATTAACTCCTCAGGAAGCCAATTTAGCTGAGCTAAGGAGAAAAATGAAAATGGAAAAGAGCGAAAAATCCTTTGATTAGAAACTTCAGTGCGACTACCCTCTATCAGACGACATTAACAAAATAAAAACCTTCTTAGCCGTACTAGCAGCTGCATGTTGAGAGCCGTTTAGAGGCAATGCTTCCAACCTCGTATCGTGCACCTTTAAGTAATGTACTTGAGTAAATGTGCATTCCCATTTCTTTCTACCACTGGTGCTAATTAGCAAATATGAGCATGCTAATAAGCTGAACCAAGATGGTAAACAATATACCTGCTAATCATCAGCGTGTTCTCGTCGTGAATGCATCAGCATCTTACCATTCGTTCAGCCACAGAGCTGCTAGCGCGGCTCTTTGTCTTGTTTTTACAACAGTACGGTAAGTAGGTCTCAGCGCGGAGGCATGGAGTCATATGTATGTTGTGACTCACCGAGTCCTATGAGTCCCAGTGTCTCTCCCCTGATCCTCGCGGCTCCCGACGCCACCTCTCGGATCTGCTCCACGTTCTGAACCCGCGTGCCCTCCCGGAGCGCCTGCCATGAATAACAATGAATTATTACAGATATCCTAAAACGTTACAGTTCAACACAATACAGGTACATTTTCTAAATATCTGCACTTAATGACCAAAGTCTAAATCCTTTTAGGTACTGTGATCATGGTGTTAAAGTATACGTCGAAGTGATGATTACTTATAACTGATTTGAGGAACAAATCATTTTATTGTGATGAATGGACGTACACCTCTAGCCAATACATCGAGAGTTACTTCATTTGAATCCAGTTCATTTCAGTCCGTTTTATCAGCCACACAGAGACACAAACCTGGTGCAGCCAGGTGGTGCGTCGGTACAAGGTGAGGATGTGACACAGCGTGGAGTCGGCCGTCTCCTCCACCGAGGCTGCTGGCATATTACACACAGCTATGCCTGTTGGACCAGAAAGCAGATAAGGATTAGGAAAAGCTTTTTGGGCCACATTTGATGAAGTTTGGTAAAAAAGCTAGTTTGGTAGAGAAGTGCAGAACCAAGATGTCGCATCAGCAATTTCCTCTGCTAACACTACTGGCTGCTTTCAAATTGCAGCGCGTCTTGGTGGAAGGAGATACGGGGATGTTAGTAAAGCTCTGGCTGTTGCAGGACAGACACGAGTTTTAATAAAGAGCTTTACTCACTTCATCTTTTAATGGAAGACTTCTAGCAAACATGGCAATACATATTGGTATCAGAAAAAAAAAAGTTTTGGGGGAGATTGGTCAAATCAGCTGTTGAGCAGTGGTGGAATGTAACTCAAGCGCTGTACGTGAGTATCATTTTGAAGAACTTGTACTTTACTTGAGAATTTGTATTTTATTCTATTCTTTATCCGACAGCTTTAGTGACATTCAGATTATTAATACAAAATATAAATCAACTAGTATTTTTCAATTAAGCTTTCTGGAACTACAAATCACTTAAATCAGCTCCACCTTTGCCAGCTGCAACATTAGTGATGCTTACACATGAACATATCTATATATAGATATGTTCCATTTAATGTTCGTACTTTTTACTCTGACTTTTACTTGTAACAGTATTTTGCACCGTGGTTTTGCTACTTTTACTCAAGTAGAAGATCCGAGTACCATTTCCAACAATGCTGTTGAGTAAACTGTCTATTTGTTTCTTACGGCTCGTTGTTTATGCTCATCAATGCAGCCACAACAGTTGGAACACCACACACTCGCTTGTAATTGAAGGTGTAACTAATAACATCAGCAATGGCTCTTTTCCATTTAGGGGTGCCAGTTAGCTAGCCCAGCGTGCAGCGCCAAGCTTGGCTTTGGAACAAATGAAAGAGTGGCAGCCTGCTGTGTAAAGTAGCTCTGGAGTGAAATGGCGAGTAATTGAAAGTCACATGTGGTCAAACCTGCCATTTATGTGAAATATGTTACTAAACAAACATTTGGTTTGAGCTACTTGAACATAGAAGGTTACTGTGATGGGCAAGAGTATTGAGGACAAAAAAATAACAATTCATAGTTGCAAACATACACGTGGCTACAGTATCTATGTTGTATTAATACTGGTTACCTGTATTACTTAACACTGTGGGCTATAGCGGTAGCATGGGGATGAATGGAAGGATGAATGGTGGTGTTAAAGGATGATGTTTACGTTCTTAACACATAAAGACTGTCAATGTTGACATTGAGAACAGGGCAGCACATGACCAATACACACTCTCACTTCCTGTCTGCGCGTGTGTGCTCACCCAGTTCCCCGGCAGATTTGATGTCGATGTTGTCATAGCCGCTGCCGATGCGGACGATGATGCGCAGGCCTTTAAACTTTTCCAGGTCCTCCCTCATCAGAGTGATGGTGTGGTACATCAGAGCTCCTACGGCTTCATTCAGCACCTGTAGAGACACACACAGTGGGACTTGTTTCAACTATAGAAAGCAATAAGTGTGCATATTTGAAATATCGACATCAGTGCAGCCTTTCTTAACCCCTGAGCCTAAACACACCAAAGCATAAAACAGTGTCTGTTTACAGAATAAAATCAATGTGCTTTGAGTTCATACATTACAGAAGAAATGGACTAAATGTCACGGCCAAGTCATGAGCATGTGTTTGTGTAGGTGTGAGCATTCACAAGTCAACATTGAGTGAATGTCAGCAGCCAGAGTTCACCGAGTTCAGACTCGCAGTGTTTCCATAAACGCAGTATCTCGTATCTCGCAGTATTTTTTATTTATTTTCCAGGATATGCTGTTTACGTCTTCCTCACATCCTGTTTTTTTTAATATCACTGCCAGCGTGGAAGAACTGCTTTTCCTGAATATTACCATGGAAACTAAGCTTTCGTAACCGCAGGAGTCAAGATAAGGTGTCTCTACATCGAACAAAAGTGCCGAATATCAGCAGGGATCCACACTGGCTCATTGTTTTAATTGAAAAATGAAATATTATGATTTAACAGCAGATAAATTGGGAACGGTAGTATATGGCTGTGTGTTGTTGTCACCTTTTAATTGGTTCTCCGTTAATCTTACAATCTTTTTCTAACGTTGCCAGCCCTCCTCCTCATGCGTGTGTTAGAGAGGCTGAAAATGACATGCGATTCAATTACAATAAAGAAGCCCTTTTGATTACACAATGGAGGTAGAGAGCAAGAGAGAGAGCGAGGGAGAGCCATCTGTTTGTCCCACGCTGAGGGTTACTGAGCGCGCTCACAGAGGGAGTGTGCCTGGCAGACACCCAGAACCAGACGTAACCCTGCCAGACATACAAACCCAGTTACGATCCATAGTGAGTGTGGCAAGATCCGAGGCTGACCCACATTTTAAGTTTGCTCTCTGCACTCTTCAATTCTGAGTGCTTTACTTCTCCTTTTCTTTAGATTTGTTTTTCATGGGATTTGCATCTTTGCACATCCTTAACACACAACTAGGCAACTTCAGATCGATACCTCAGGTGCTGATACTGATTTCACGTTATGTCAGTAGACAGAAGCATTCATGCATTATTGCAAGGTGGTAACCCCCCACCCCCACTGCTCTCCTTGTGTTCACATCATTCAAATAGCTTAAATTAGCCCCTGTGATTGTGTTTTGCATGTGGATATTGTTGCAGTCAGAAACTCCTGATACGTCCAACTCAGAGTTGCACTTACACGCTGACGTGAACAGTTTTACCGACTCAATCTGAATGAAATTACTTATATACTTATATAAATATACACAGTTTAAATGTTCATTTTTTCCAGGTCAGACATCGCTTGTCCATCAAAAAGATGGTTAAATATACTGTACAAGGGGAAAAGAATCTGTGGCATCCATGATTTCTGAAGGGATGTTTTGAAGCCTTAAGTCAAATGTTCAGCTTGGTTCCTAATCTAAATGTGTGCACTTAGGTGGAGTTTGGATTAAGCTGATATTGATGGACGCAGAGAGGAGCAGGGGAGATTTATTTCACATCAGATATATTGATATTTATTTGATGCATTTCTTATCCAGTAGACAACTACAAATGATTGAAATATATCATTATTTATATCTGTTCAACGAGACTGCTGATGATACTTGGATTTTGGAGGTGATGCTTTAATTAAAAACCCACTGCTTCCACCATTGTTTATTTGTTTATTAATTTATGGTTTATTGCGGCTCTCTGAAATATAAAATATACTCGCTTCCTGTTCCAGGAGGTTTTTAGCAGCACCAGATGATAAATAATAACCATCTGTCTATGCTATCATCTATCTATTACAGCAAATGTAAAAGCTTTATAGAGCAGCCTGCTGAATCCCTTACCGAGTTTATATTTACAAGTATACATCAAGATGAAATATTCCCGGAGCAGGATATGATCCTACTTACAGTGTGTGTAAGTGTGTGTGTGTGTGTGTATGATCTAGTTAAGTGTGTTACCTTCTCGTGGATCTCCTGTGTGGACTGAGCGTCACAGAAGGCTACGGTTGCTACGTCTTTCAGGATGGGCATCTCCACCGTGCAGTCGCGTCCGTCCAGCAGCGCCACTAGAGGGCGCGGGTGCATGGGCCCGTTCATAATGGGTGGCCTGATGCCTAAACACACACACACAGAAGAAAATAAAGAAGTGGCAGATGGGCAAAACAACAAAGGAAAAAAAACATCTCCAGAAGCAACTGGTCGTGTTTCACAGCTTATTACTTTTAAAGATGTCTTCAGTTTAATTATTACTGCCTTGAAGTTTGCTGACTCTTTGAAACTGGCAGTAAGATGGATGAAGAGGGTAGAGGCTGGTAGAAAATAGTTATTGTAAATTACTGGCCCTTGAAAAGTGCCCTCAAACCTTCAGGATCTCCCCGTCCAATTAAAAATTATCCTTTTGTATTTCATCCGGCTCACATTGTTTTAATTACGTACTCATATATTCACGGAGAATGTAAGTGCTCGCCCCTCTGGGCCACTGAGCGTGAATCTTGGGAGCCACTTACTGGGGAAAAAAATGGGTCAATGTTGACCAGAAAACAACGGAGCAAGCAGCCTGAAGCTCCAGATTATGTCTTGATTTTCTCTTGCGTAGCATATCTTGGTCGAAATTGAGTGTTAACTCACAAACATGTATGAAGACATATAGGTAAGTTCATGAAATCTGTCCGTATTTGGATAAGAGTGAAACCCTTCAACCATTCTGGATGTTTTATTAAATTGTCTCTTTGGCCACAACCATTACCCAGAGAGTGCTGCCAGGCCGTACAGGAGGGTAAGTGGCATTTAACAAGGCAGATACGCCTGACGACCCCACTAGAGGGCCGTTTGTTCAGGTTCAACGAGAGCAGTGGTCGTCTGCTCGATGGGGGTTGCATGTATTCGTTTTCATTAACGGTTTCCCGCCACTGCAATCTGCTCGGATCTCTCGGTTCGACTCTGCTTTCAGGTAACTGAAGAGTTAATAATTCCAGATCACTGACTGAGAACCGAGACATCTGAAAGATGGACGGATTCAGAGGAAGATGTAATTGGGTCTCCTTGACGCGCAAACATTTGACAGACCTGGAAAGCACCGTAGATGAAGTGAGTGCAGAGTTATGCCGGTTCTAGATGATGCTGACGGGACCCATCACTCATCCCTTACTCCTCCGTCTGAGACGTGCAGGCTGACATCTCATATGAGCAACCGCCTCCGTCATTTCACCCAAAATATTCCCCCTCAAACTTTTCTGCCGAGATGAAAACACAACTGGCATCCTCTCAGTTTGACACTGTTTTCCAGTTGCATGGGCGAACATCACGAGACAGCATTCAGTATTCATTAAAGCAGTCATTTCAAAATCAGCATTCTACGGCCGCCACGTTATTGTGAATGCCAAGTATCCCTGAGAATCACACTTGTGGAAAGACGTTTGGCAGCTCCAAACATACAGATCGGTTTGGAAAACCTGGCTTGGAAACTGAGAGACACTCCTCCCTCAACAGCTATCATTAAGTGGTCTATGAGCCAAATACATTCAAGGAAAAAACCCCTTCATACTCAAACTCCCAGTATCTATCTTTATCTCTGATTGTCAGTGCTTTCCTCCAGTTGTGTTTTTGTCCTGAAGATTTGTAATTGACCTGTTTTCTTGCACTTCATCTGTTGTATATTTCTACTTAAGTTAGTGAGTTCATGTTTCCCACAATGCCTTTTGACAATCTTCAGAAAAGATGTGTTCACTTTTAGCATTTCGATTTTATTAAACCCCTAAAACTCTTTTGAAAATGCAAAATGTCTCGTATACCTGCACAGCTAACGAACGAGACATTTGTAGATCTCTTTGGCAGTCGATTGATTTCTTCTTATTTCTTCTTGTATGACTGTTGTTAGTTATGATAGTTAAGCGAGACGCCACTGCTTTCTGATTTTGGAGGCCTGACATTTATTATCAGTGTTTGGAGTAGCAACATGATTGTACAGGCGATAGAAATCCGTGTTATTGCATGACCGTGATGCCACATCATTTACATTTGGCCAGTTACTACTGCTGGGTTTTTTTGGGGCATTTTTCCCGTATATGTGCTCCAATGGTGCGGCTCAGTGACCAGTAAGTGAGGGCTGTGTTGTACTGGGCACCTCCCATGACTGAATAAGAATAGCTGCATGAATAATATGAATACAAAGCAGGGAAGTGCTGGGAAAAAAAACAAATGCAGATGGAGGATCCACATCTTTCTCATCGAAAGTACATTCTTATCCCAAAAACGTTTAATTGTTGATTTTTAAAAACAGACTGTCAGTGGTTTTCTCTGGCTCTTGAGTGAGCCAGTGTGCATGCGTGGGGAAATAATGTATACAGTGCTTACATGCATATCTGGTTCATGCTCCAGTGTGCTGCAGGGCTCATGGGTTGGCAGTATTTAGAGAGAACGGAAAGGAAGCATGTGATATTTTGAAACATCAGTATTTTTGATTTGATGTACTTTTATTGTGGCCAGAATACTTTTACGATACTTCACTGCTCATTTACCAAAAAAAAAATATATATATCGCTATGAACAACATACTTATGAACTATTTTTAAACCAGCACATCCTGCATGTATCAGGCAGCAGTAGAGCGGAGCGTGGGAGAGTATACACAGAGCCACGTCACTGTAACCGTGGAATACATCAGTGCATAGTGCATTTAGGATCATGAATCTAATGCTGATACTGTTACTGCTTAGATTCTCACATTAGCAACTTAGAAAGAAATCTGAAAATACTCATGGTAAGCACCTGTATTGTATCTTTTTTAAGGGTTACAGTGTGAGATAAATGTCTAAAAATCCTGGTTTCTGCCTGAACCTGAACCTTACGATAAAAGACTTTCACATGTAAAACTAAATGAAAGGAAACCGCACTCAGAAGGTGCAGAGAAGAAAGGGACAGCCCAAAATTTAGCATAATCCATCTATAAATGTCTGTATCGTCATCTTCTCCTCACCGTCAGGTTGCAGCCTGAAACCTGATCTGATGAATCAGCACCCACAGAACAATAAAGTGAAACTCAAATCTTGCTCACAATGCCTTGTGTGAGCTTGTAAAACATTAGCTTTCCATTATAGGATTCGCCTTGAGGCCATTGCACTTACACATCAATAGAAAATCAATGGTGCATAGCTGAGAAATTGGAATTCAGCAACAGCAAAAAGTACCGTCAGACCTTCAACACAACCATCGTTGCCGCTCAGATGTAATCATAAGTAGCACACTCGCCTGTAGGCGCTGCAATCTACTCTGTTTTGGCTGACATACTTTTCTGAGCTTTCATTTGAGCAGAAACACAAAGCATGAGTCAGAGATGGCGTGTAAAAATCAAATAGGCATGATGGCCACTTGCACAGAATAAGGACAATCTGGTCAGTCTACGCAGTTGAGCGGCAAAGTGGCGTGTTAGGAGAGTAGCAGACATTTATTTTTTTCCCAGCTCACACTCAGTCAGAGTGAGGGAGGAAATAGCTTTCATTCCAGCACCAAGCATGACCTTGAGAGGACCAGCACCGTTGACTGCCGAGTACTACGATATGATAAAACACCCATTCATTCTCTCTGTCTTTCCCCTCACACACACACACACACACACACACACACACACACACACACACACACCTCAGCACAACACTGCAAGTATTAATGCACTCTCTCTAAATCAAACAAACTCAAATGGCAGTTTCTCTTTTATTTAATGTATTTTCCCTCTTTCTAGCCACATTAAACACTCATTACATTCTTCTTGTGTTATTAAATAACTGCGAATACTGAGTTCCTAGACTCTAAAACCTCTTCCATCTCTACTCCCCCCCCCTATTGCCTCAGGGGTGGGTGACTGCTGGGAGCTTTCACTGTGCAAACAGGCCTCTTGACAGCCAACGGAGCCACAGCTCCGGCTCTGCTCTTGCCATCCATCCAGTGTTTCTCTGCAGCTGAGCTTTGATTCAGATTCACCACCGCATTTAGTAAAAACATTTTGAGGCAATGTCGTCGAAGGGATCTGCAGCCAAGGCAACATCCAAAATGGAAATGGCGATAATTGTTCACAATATGCGCTTAAGGGCCTGGGACTCTGTAGACACCCGCGATATGAAAATTGCATCCGTGGGAAATTTTGTAATCAGACCAAAATAACACTGAAGCTGTTTGACTGACATTTAGAGACGGAAAAAAAGCATCTGCCAAGGACTGCTGGGACTGAATCAAGTGAGCCAGTGGGAAAGCCCTGCAGCCTGCATGTATCCAGCTGTCATTGACCAGCTCACAAGAACAGCTGGATTCTTATGTCCCCCGAGGAACGAGACAATGTTATCGGACTGTCAGTCAACGGAGACGATTTTCCCGTGTTTTTAAGTGTGCAGGTCACAAGGAAGTCTGCCGGCCTCGATAGAGAGTGATCCGCCTAAACAAGCTGCTGACCGACACTAAAGAACCACAGCAAGCGTGTGTCTCACCACACACTCTTATAACAAGATGTTTCATTTCCAGAGCATCGATCTGTCGGGCTAGTTTTTTAACAATATAATGTTTTAAAAAAAAAAGCTGACAACTTGAGCTTTAGGAATTTTCGATGGGCCGTTTTTATTATTTTAGAAGACATTTCGACGATCAATCAATGATGAAAATAGAGCTGAAAAAATGAATCTATCGGTCAATCGATCAGCAACAATTTTGATTGACAATTTAAATGTTGAGGTCAGTTGTTTTGCAAAACAGCGTCAAGTCTTTGTTAGAGTCAGCTTCCAATAAATTAGCATTTGCTACTTGTTTAAATCATTTAAAATCAAATATCTTTTGACTGTTGGTCTAATAAAACAATATATTTGAACACGTAGACCTTTCACACACATAATGACCAAACCATCCTGAACTAAAACTCTTCTCTGTGAAACGCAAGTGAACCTCGGCAGCATGACGCATTCACATTTCAGATGCAGTGTTTTTCACTCTGACACAGAGAGTAGAGCGTTGCTGCCGGCACCTGTGATCAGTCAGCCGTCTGCAACTGTAGCAGCCAACCGCTGAGCCCCACCACGGCTCGTTTCTAATGTCACTGGCTCTCCTGTCATGCTGCAACATGGCGTGGTTAAAA